ACTCCTACTGTCCGTGCTTCCAGCCGCCTTCTAGTAGCCGCATTGGCCTTCCAGTCCTGTTCGTGCTGGTGCCAACCTCCCCACCCCTCCCCTCTTCAGGCTTATCCTTGCTGTCATCAGCCCTTTCGGGTCACTTCTTGCTGCTTCCGGCCCCTCCAGGGCTTATTCTTGCTGTTGTTCAACCCCAGGCATCGGTTCCTACTGCTACTCAGTTCCCTATTGATGCTTCCTATGGCTGTCCAATCCCCGTCACCTCTCTGACTTCCTTCTATACCTTAGCCACTTGTTGTCCGCCTTCTGCCGACAGGCCGCCAACCCTCTTACGCCATACAACACTATTGCCACCTGCTGCCATCAACCCTCCAGCACCGCTGTCATTTCATTCCCTTCAGGGCCTGCCCTGAGGAGCCATTTATGTGTTTCGTGTTGTTTTCTTTCTTATATTACAGCGTCGTCGTTACTTGTTGTTTACATGTTTGTGTTTTTTATGTTGAGAATTCGTCATTGTTACTTTTGAATTCAGTAAGAAAATTTGTCGTTTGGTCATGGTTTGGGTCAATTCCGGTATCACTTAAAATATCATTTAATATATTTTTATTCTATTTTTTAATCAATCATTTTATTTGATTTTAAATTTTCGTAGCCTCTGCACAATTAAATTATTTAAAAATACTATATATATATATATATATATATAGTAGTATATCGAGCGAAAATGAGCCAAACACGAACGAACAAATATTTGTTCGCGTTGTTCGTGTTCGGCTCATTAACTTAGCGAACGAGCCAAACACGAGCTTTTTTAAATTCGGCTCGTTTATTTATTGAGCACAAAAAATTTTTCGTGTTCGGCTCATTTGCTTAGAGAACGAATCGAATACGAGCTTCTTAACAAGCTGAATTCGAATTGTGTACGAACAATTAGCTGTTTTAACAGCCGCCCCCATCGCCACCACCCACCCGCCTGTAAGAACAGTTTTTGCTGTTGTTTCCTGCAGTTCCTCCATTTCCAGCCACTTCTGTCTTCTCCCAGACTTACTGCTGCCACAGAGACCTGCCCTCCACACTTTCCCAACCTCCCCGCATTGCTTGCCACCTATTTCCTTCGCTCTCATCACCCAGAACTGTAGGAAATCACTATTTTCTTGCAGTATTTCGTCTTCCCAGCCACCACCTCTGCTCCCGGACTTGCCACAACCCCACTAATGTCCTCCCTCTTTCCAGCATCCCAGGACAACCTATTCTTGCTAGTTCCTGCAGATTACAGCAATTCTCTGCGTGCTGTCACCCAGGACAGCAAGCTGTCGTTGCCTTTCCACGAGTTTCCCACAATCCCGCACCTTCCCGACCTTGTCGCCACCTTCCAAGCTCTTAACGGTCACCACTATCACATGAGATCTACCCTAATTTAGTGTGTGCCGTTTTTGTTGCTATTTCAGATTTTTGGGTATTTAGTTGTATTTTTCCTTTCAAGTGTCTTGGTTGTAATTATCTATTTGCTTTCGGCAATAATATATATTTTTTTATTGTGATTTCGGTTAACTTCGGTATCAATTGACCACTCTTTTTAATTGTTTTTTTTTTTTTTTCCAGTTTTGCTTCTTTAGTCAATCAAGAACATCCTAATTTTTTCCTCTTTTCTCCTGACCAGTGGAGTTCAAATAACTGGATTAACTTCGGTATCAAATGGCCACTCTTTTTAATTGGTTTTTTTTTCCCAGTTTTGCTTCTTTATTCAATCAAGAACATCCTAACCTTCTCCTCTTTTCTCCTGACCAGTGGAGTTCAAATAACTGAAGCTCTAAAACTGCAGATGGAGGTCCAAAAGCGGCTACACGAGCAACTAGAGGCAAGTTCTCTAAAATATAACATAGCATTTTGCATGTGTAGCATATAACTAATTTAGCGTTGTACTTGCTTGATTCAAAATGCATCTTCACAAAAAATTTCAATGGAAAAAAATAAAGGAATTTTCTGATTATATAATTGGATGTGTTTTAACTTAGTTTTGATTTTTTCTCTAACGATAATGACAACCATGAAGGTACGTTTCTTTGTTAGCTTGTTTGCTGATATTGAAGAGAGAAAAATGAGGATTAGCACCGAACTACCTCAAGGGTCGGGCGGGCTGATAAGTATGTCACTGACAAACGTATGGGGATTAGATATTGAGATACAAGAATAGATGTTGAGATATGATGCTACAAGAGGATAACATGCCAGAGATAATATTAATTATTATAACAACCTTAGAATAAGATAAAAAGGAGTGAGTCAGAGATCCCCATAGACCTATATGTTATATGAGTGAATCATCAATAATTAGCTAAGATAACAAGTGATGGTAAATTAATCCCTGGATACTATATCTCTACCTTTTATTCTCTAGTGAATACATTGATACCCTCTCTTCAGCTCATTTTTTGGCTCCTTCCTAATTCATTCTTTGAGGTGCGAGTCCACGAACATATTGGGATTCAACCGTTTCTGCTAACTTCAAATAGTTTATTTAAAGATTTCATGGTGTTATATTGGAGTTATATTGAAATATTTCTAGTACTATTGTTTTGAGTGTTTGGTAAAGTTGAATATATTGAAATATTGCTAGTACTATTGTTTTGAGTGTTTGGTAAAGTTGAACAACATAAGCCATAACCAATTGCCGGTGTATAATTCTAAGCTCAAGATGTCCTGTCCTCTAGTATGGCTGAACCATGAAAAAAAAAAGAAGTCACAATCATCAATATCATTAGCCTTATATGATCTCTTGAGACATACTTTATGAATCCTCATTTTTCTCTAGTCACTGTACATTGGGCATGGACCTTTTACAGGATGTATGTGAATTTGATTCTTTTGTCATTTATTCCGTTCAAACAACACAATAAGCTTCATCCATGTTTCGAGACAATACATTTGTATAAGGTTTATGGTTGCAGTTATCAATTAATTTTGAAAATGTACAGTTTCAATTTTTAAGATATTAATACTTTAAATTTTAAAGGATTTTTTTACCAGTAGATGAGTTAACAGTATTATTGTCATCATATTGTTTAGATAGCAACGTACATTGCCATTTGTTTTTAGATTGGCTTGAGATGATATAGTTGAAAGTGCCATCTGTCTTTTGTTTGATTTACTGCAGACATGTATAATTCTTCGTTGCTTATTAAAAGCCCCTGCAAAAATGCTTAAATTTCTGTTAACAGCACAAGTCAACGGGCTACTTATTTTATCTCATTAATGTTTAGCTTTGGTGTTTTCTGCTGTGTTAGTGCAGTATACGCTTGTATTTTATTGTTTTTCAAACATTAATTGCAGTTTTTTTTTTCTCAATTCCATTAATGGTTCTCAACTAAATAAGCTTCTGAAACTTCTGTAGGTACAAAGGCAGTTGCAGCTAAGGATAGAAGCCCAGGGAAAGTATCTGAAGAAAATCATGGAGGAACAGCAGCGGCTTAACGGAGTATTGGCTGAGACACCAGGAGTGAACCTCCCCCCTCCACCATCTTCCGCCGACTTCTGCCTAGATTCCAACCCTTCGACCCCCGCACCAATTTGCGAGTCACTTCATAAGGACAAGATTCCTAATGGCAAGCACGGAAATGCCGACCGACTCATCAAGAGCACCTCATTAGATGATTCCTCCCGCCAGGAACCGTTGACTCCAGACTCCAGCTTCCATGTTGATGGCTCGACCTCTGAGAGCGTGAAACATGAGAGGCCGAACAAGAGGCTACGATGCAATGGTGGTGGAATGCACGGAGCAGGAAATGTGGATTTGGTGTTAGGGAACCATATACTGGAATCAAGCTCGGGTTCCGAATTCCAGCAACAGTGCTCCATGTTCAATGCTGGAAGTCATTTCGATTCTTCAGGCGGTTCTTTCGGCGACGATGACCAGTTTGGAAATGGTTCTGGGAGTGATGTTTGATGAAGAAGGAGAGTTCTAAAGCCTGTAGTTTATTTATTTTTTCTGTAATTTCTTGGAGTTGTCTGATAGTGGTGGAATCAAATTACTGCAGAGAGCTGCATTTTATGTAATTGGAATTTTAGAATCAAGAAAACTGATGAGAAGAATTGTTGCAGAGCGCTTTGCATCAAGCATGGAAAGAATTGTTCCTTGAATGATCTGTAATAGTTTCTATTTTTTCCTCTCAGCCATACTGACTCTCTTGTAGCTGAATGCTCTGGGATATATGGTAATGCTGCTATTGTAATCTGTTGGGATTTCATGCTTTTTCTTTTTTTCACTAGGAATATAACAAATCACTGGCAACAGTGATGCAGAACAATCTTTGGTTGTAGGTTATTTTCATGCAGATTATTATCATGTTTCAATATCAAAGTAGTTTTTCAGTTTACTTCAACTATATTTTATTTCAAGAGAATGTTGTAAGCATGTATTATGTACTTTTGTATTAGTATTAAATATTTCTTGTCTGTATTGATGGCCCTTTTGCTCTGAGCCTCTTGTTCCATATCTCTTATGCCTGCTCAAGTTGGTCCTAGTTGATTAGAGTGCTGATAAAAACAAACTTTAAGTCAATTGGCCTCAAAAACCTCAAAAAATTCTATTGTGGATGGCAAAAGCAACTGTCTAATAAATAAAGATTTTAATACAAATATCTTATTTTTTAAGAACATGAATTGTATTTGAATAAGTTCTGTTTAAGTTGAATTGGTTGTATGTTATGATGCAAGATAGGGAGCTCGATGTTGGATCAAAGCATTAAATTTATCATATAATGGTAGATCATTAGATATATATCATTTATGGATGTGTATTTATCAGTGGGTAATAAGTTGATAGTGAAAGTATTCTAAAAACAGAAAAAAAAGAAGAAGAAAAAGAAACATCAATAGCACATTACAAAACTTAAGATCACTTTGATTTACATAAAGGCAAACTAAAGATAATAAGACTAACATTTCCACTGTTATAGTAAATAAAATATTTAGATTTCTATTTAAAATAATCACAACTATGAGAGTATATATTATTAGAATAGAATATTAAAATTTAGCACCTCATCTTTAAAACATAAATATTTTGCTTATAATTCTCATATTCATCAAAGCCTAAATAGCCATCACAAGCACATCACAATATCTTAGTTTCCTTGACCAATCTCCTAAATCATGTCCTTTATCAATCTCATCATTTTCATGACATTTGAAAGTATGAAAATCATCCAATGATGGTTCTTTTTTCTTCTTTTTAATCAATCATAATTGTTGTAGATTCTGTCATACACATCTCTCACCAATAATCCATTCAAAACAATAGAAAAAAATCAAATAAGAAAACAAATAAAAAACACAGAGTGCACCAATGCAATTATATCTAGGTTTTGAAATTTTTATATAGTTAGTTGAAATGCTACATTTTTTTTTTAATTTTTTTATACTTAAAAGTAATGTGGGTGTTTTATTTATTTTAAGATTATTTTCCATTTATTATACATTTAAAAAAAGTGCATCTTTACTATGGGCCTTGTTCATATTGATTATTAATAAAGTATGACTAGTGTTAAGAAAAGAATATGCATAATTTGTGGCATGGACATATCAAATTAGGAGCAAGTACAATGAATTTCAAAGCAACTATTAAAGAGATCCGAGTGCATTAAAATAAGATAGTAAAATATGCCTTATTTTTCTTGAGTAGGTTATGTCAATATGGGAAGCGAACAGTGTCCATTACTTAAGAATTCAAAATCATGGAATATATATATATATAAAAAAAAACCAAGTAGATTTGCACTTGACAAGAAAAAAGAATCCTAAAACTTCTTAGGACAATTAAAAAGAAAATAACTTACAAAAAAAGAGGATAACGCAAATACTAAAACCCTAAACTCTTTAAAAGAAGGGGTGTGATTCATTTGGTCAAAACCAAAAAATCATACCAAAGCGAAAAAGTTTGGCTGATTCGGTTTGGCTTTAAAAATACATTTTGACTTTTTTTTTTTGTTTTTAAAGCCTAAATATTCAATTTTTAGTTTTTGGTTTGGTTATAATTTTTTTTGAAATGAACTAGCCAATAAATAAAAAAATTTAAGCTAAATAATGGATCATGAAATTAAATTGATATTATTTCTGTAAGATATGTAATTCTTGTTATTTGTTCATAACCAAACTCCACCTAAAAATTAAGTTTTACCTTGTTCATAAACAAAGTATTTAAACCTAAGAAAAAAATGTGTTCAACGATTAGGGTTTTATCAAATTTTTGACTTAATCAATTTTCCAATTTTGGATTTTGGTTGCAATTGGTTTGATCAACTTAAAAATTGATCCATCCAAACCAATTGAATGTTTGCCCCTATATAGAAGTTTCTCAAAATCTCTTTAATATCTCTTATCAATTTAGTTTAATTCCGTAAAAAAAAAAAAACCAAAGTTTGGCATTTACTTCCATGCCATTTAGTACATCAACTCATATAGCAAACTAACCTAATTTTTTTCCAAGCATTCATAAAAGAATCTAGAAGCTTATCTTACCTTTTGATTTATATATGAATAATGAGCGATTACAAAATAAATCATAAAATCTTTTTTTTTTTAATTTTTTAATTTATACAAGAAGAGATGATCTTCGTGCTACCCTAAAGGTGAGATCATCTTATTACTTTTAAGGTTATGGAAGGATGCATGGATTTAATATATTGTGATAGATAATGATACTTATTTTAGAATCTATTAAAAAAATATTATTGTATAAAATGATAAAATTTAGTACAAGCAAAATATCTCAATCATAATAGATATCCAAAAATGAGTTATGGACCACCAGGAACACCCAAATGCTAAATGAGCCACACGGGCATAATGGATCGAGCCCATCAAATGTGAATTTAGTGGTATGGTATTAATTAGATCAATCAAACACATTAATTGTATCTTTGAGAGTGACAAGCTGTAGAGCTCCTTACCATCCAGAAGGATTCTATGAGTACCTCCAAAGTATGTTTGCATTCTTATAAGTTCCTCAAAATGGGTCTACCTAACCTCAATCTTCAAGTGAACTCTTTTAGTCAAACTCACTTACATAGACCAATTTCCCATTCGATACTTATACAAGCTGGATAGAACTTCTAACCAAACTCATGGACAACTACTTGGCCACATCATTGAGCTCAATGAACAATTCCTCAAGAAAGAATAAATTGAATTCTTATCTGTTTAACAATAAGACAATCCACACCAGCAGTCTTGTCAAGAATAAGTCTGATCAAGCTCTGAACCACATAGCATAAAATCTAATTTTATGATTATTATTTAGACCACTGTGTAGGTACCTACGTTCCCAAGTATATGAATAAGTAAGAGTGAATGAGGGGGGACCAATCTCCCTCCCTCCCTCCCTCTCTCTCTCTCTCTCTCTCTCTCTCTCTCTCTCTCTCTCTCTCTCTCTCTCTCTCTCTCTCTCTCTCTCTCTCTCTCTCTCTCTCTCTCTCTCTCTCTCTCTCTCTCTCTCTCTCTCTCTCTCTCTCTCTCTCTCTCTCTCTCTCTCTCTCTCTCTCTCTCTCTTTCTGGCTCTCTCGCATCTGCAGGTTTGAAGAACTCTGTAAAAATACCTTAGCTTCTTCTTACTCTTTCTTCAAGATCTCTCTAAAATATTACGAGTTCATGAATTATGCAAGATCTCACGTCCTAGAAGAATTCAACATCATGATGGTGCGGTGAGTATGGAACTCTTTATAAAAATATAATCAAGAGATCTTATAGTTCAAGAGAAAATGAGGAACAACCATGAATTGCACTAGAGACTTTGTCATGTAGTAGATGGAGGAACTAATAGAACAAATGAAAACGAGCATAGAAGAAGTAAGGCAATATAGGTGTCCAAAACCCATTACATAAACTACTCAAAAAGTTATACGAGATCATTAGGGTAAGTGGCACGAAGGAAAGAACAAGAGAGATACAAGCCACTTAGAGATGAGCCACATCAAGTCAGAGAAATAAGAGCCCTGGATCCAGCATTGGAGGAAGTAAAGGAAGGTGACGACAATGCGTTGTATATTCTTGGAGTCCTAAAAAGTCGAGGAAGTAGAACATGAAGAAGAATGAGATGATTAATAGAGAATATTTTCCCTAAAGAAATCATTGTAGTAGAACTCCCTGGAGGTTCAAAAATTCCCTCTCTAAACTCTTATAAAGGAAGAATTGATTTTGTTGATCATTTAGCCTTTTTTGAGTCAACAGTCTATCTGTTACAAATATTGCTCTTAAGTATTTTTTATTCATCACAATGTGTAAGGAGTCATCTTTGTGTTAGTTCAACAGCTTGCTAGTAGTTCTTATCACATTTTTTTGTAAAACATATTCATAGATTAGTTTGTTAGCACTTAGAATCTACAAAAAAAACTCTCAAGATATGCTAAATAAGAATATAACATGCTCCATTCAAACACATATGAAGCTTTATTACCATATTCTAGTGTGAGATGCTCAACATTAAAAATCTTGAACCTTATGTCCCTTATGCGGCACTCATGCACGGGATATGTGAAGGCCCATTTGTCATTGTGTTAGTTCAACAACTTACTAGTAGGCCTCACATTTTTTGTAAAATATATTCATAGATTAGTTTGTTAGCACTTAGAATCTACAAAAAAACTCTCAAGATATGCTAAGTAAGAATATAACATGCTTCATTCAAACGCATATGGAGCTTGATTACCATATTCTAGTGTGAGATGCTCAACATTAAAAATCTTGAACCATATGTCGCTCATGCGACACTCATGCAAGGGCTATGTGAAAGGTCCATTTTGGTACCTGCTTGGCTTGCAAAAACAAAAAACATTGGTTGAACTTTTGGAATTGGCCAATGCTTAAATCTCAGTATAAAAATATCATTCTTTGTTAAACTCCACCACCCTCCATCAAAGATATTCTCCTGAGCATCGGGGATCCAAATGCAGATCCCCACAAGTAAACTGACGAGATTTCCCTATAAGATATCCACGACCACAACAACCAACAGAGCAATTCAATCAAATGCTTATTATTAAAAAGCAAGAAAATAGATAGGAGGCGCCCCAACCCTCCACATTGAAAATCACTCATTTGAAGGTTTCCATAGATGAAATCGTAGAGACCAATCAAGATAAGGATTTCTTCAAGAGATTCCCACCAATCAAGGTTGGGAGCTTCCAACAAATTATCAACAAATATTATTCCTATTATCATGACCATCAACATCTTATAGAGGAATGTCATCATCTCCAAGACCTGATCGAAGAGTTGATCCGAGCAGGGAAGCTGAAACAGTTTGTTGAGGCAGAAGCCATACTCGGGGCAAGAAAAGGTGTGAATCAAGACCATTCACAATGAACCGATTCCTGCTATAATCGTGCATATTACCGACATCATACCCACCATCTTCGATGGAGATGAACCTGAAGCTGCTAAACAATCATGTTTGAATGGGGTGAAAGCGGAAGTCATTCATTTTGCTAGCCTAGCTAGAACTGCCACTTTATCATCCACTGGTCACTTTCACGAGAACTAACTTACCCATTGGCGAGAATCTTTTTAATGATGCCATAGTATTACGACCATTATCGATAATCATGAAATTGGGAATATCGTGGTAGATAGAAGGAGCACTATCAACATCCTATTCGAGAAAGTATTCTAAAGGATGAATATGATGAACACCCAACTCCCTCGTACTTCAGGATCTCTTTATTGGTTCTCTGGGGAGAAAGAAGAGATCTGCAAAATCATTTACCTGCCAGCAACTTGGGGGAGAAATGGATAAATAATAAAGTTCATTTGCATATTTCATAGTGTTGGATGCTTCAATTGTTTATAATGACATCTTTGGAAAATCAATCCTTGTGTTCAAGGCGATGACTTCCGCTTGCCACATGGCTGTAAAACTCTTAGGAAGAGGAGAGATCATCACCATATAGGGAAACATGCTCCAATCTCGTACATGCTACATTCAAGTTGTGAAAAAGATACAAAATAATTTTCTCGAACTTGATGCCCATAGATGAACCAAGTTGAGACAACTGAAGCCGCTTAACAAGTACCTATCTTTGAAGGTGAATTTTAACACAACTTTCAAATCAGCTCCAACTTATATCACAAGCAGAAGTAGTTGATCTCTACTTTGAGGGATCACCATGACGTATTCACATGGATCGCTGACAAGATGCATGTATTTGATATCCGTATTGTTTGTTGCCAACTCAATCTTAACCCGAATGCTAAACCCGTAAAAAAAAAAGTTTAAAAGCTCATAGAAGCCAACTTAATCCCTGAAGTTCAATATATAGACTGGATGACAAATGTGGTGATGGTCTTTAAAGCAAACAATAAATGGATGATGAGTGTGGACTTCACTAACTTGAATGCAGCTTGTCCCAAGGATAGTGAACCACTAAATGGATCAACGCTTTGGTAAATTTCGTGGTAGATCATATAGTTATGAGCTTTTTAGATGCTTCTCGAGATATCACTAAATAAAATGCATCCCACAAATACTGACAATATCACTTTTATCACTAGAGGGGGAGTCATTGTTATAAAGCAATGTATATTGGGTTGAAAAATGCTAGAACAACCTTCCATTGACTCATGTGTATTGTATTTAAAAATTAAAATGAAAAAAATGTTACAGTATATATTGATGATCTCCTTGTAAAAAATAAATCATCTGAACAACATATAGCAGACTTAAAAAAAAATAACTTTTTGAATAAGCAGGAGGGAAGGAGGTGGTATCTCTCTCAGACTCTCTTTTTCCCTCTCTCAAGGCTGCACCCTCGACGAACTCTAAAAAAATTTCATAGTTTCCCCTCACTTCTTCAAGATCTCTCTTGAATTATATGAGTTCATGATTTATAAGAGATCTTATGCCCCAAAAGGATTTAGCACATAAATAATTTTAACGCTTCTATAGTCCGTCAATTCGATATATTTGCTTCTTATTTGACTTTTTTTATCCACTTTTCGTATGTCATGTCTCTCATCCTTTGAAGGAGAAAAAATGTGTCAATCAATTTCAATCACACAATAAATCTTATTAACTAATCTCTCACTAAAATAAAAATTGATTCAATTAACTACCATGTAACATCATCATTCTCAACATTTTTAGTTTCTCATTTCCCACACCATTAACACTAAGCACTAATAATCATGATCTTTTGATTACATTAGTGTTTTATAACATTCTAGAGGAAGAAAACTCTATAACCTAGGTCTATAAGTAATAGAACCATTATAACTAAACTAAGCTCTATAATTTATTACCTTTCCAAGTTTCCACAAATAAAAATTTCTATCATATGATAAATTTAACTCTCTTAATAATAAGAATAAGGGCTTGTCTCAGATGAAATTTAGTATAGTTATTATTATTATTTTTTCTTTATTATTAAAGACAAGTTTATTTATTGTGTATTTAACATATTTTTTTTTCTATAAATAAATAAACATTTTTGAAAACACTGTAAATAATTTTTAAGTATTTTAAAAAATAATAATTTCCTACTAAAACATACCAAATATATTTTATTTCAAAGCAAAACATAGATAAAAAAAAATTAATTAAAAGAGAATAAAAAATAAAAGTGATGCCACATTGATCTCAACAAACTCACTTTATAATATCTTCACTCCTACAACAATTATAACAGTAATTTTATCAAATATATATTATTTCAAATCAAATATATATCTAAAATCCAACTGAGTTTTGGTTCATAAAATATATGAATACATTTGACCAGAAGTGAGCAGCCATTCAGCATCCACTAATTATATATATATATATATATATATATATATATATATATACTCTTAACAATCAATCACAAAATCATTATAAGAATGGGAAAATTACATAAATACCTCTACCAACATTGCTAATTTACAAATCCAGCAACATCTTTCATCAAATTTTCAAATTCTCACTCAATTATCAAAATTCACGATAGAAAACAACCAAAGTTATTTATTTTTATCAAATTTTCAATGATTTGATGATGGCGCATGTAAATGCTTAGTTCAATAAAGGAACAAGCAGGCTAGTTTTGTAAATAGTGATGTTTCAAGTATTGTGTATGCAATTATACCTATAAAATTAATGAAACTCAATTCACAAATAATTGTTCATCTATGAAAAACTAGAATCAGAAATTACAGTAAGCTGCTAGAGGAAAACAATTATTCTGCTATAAGAACAGTCCACCTTCCATAAAAAATGACAATCAAAGGACTTGAAATAAATTCTTACAATTCCATGACAAAGAAGATATCATTCCAAAATAACAATAAATAAATAAAATACAAGTTACAGTTTCATCTGATTTTCCTGCAGTTAGACCAGCTCTTAATTAACAAAAAGAAAGGCCATATTAGTCTTCAAAGTCTTCACTGCTTAGGCCTACAGAAGCTAACTGAAACTAATCCCAAGCCCTAGTGATTCAAATAATCACTATCTGCTACATGAAACTCACATTGATCTGAACATCTTCTGGGTGGTTAGCAATCCCTTCATTATAAGACTTCAAAATGGAAACAAATTACTGATTTCAACCAGAAAATAAAAATCTTATCAGGGATTGAAGATTAACATGAGTGAAAACTGATCATAAACTCTTGTGACTAATTAATATCTTTGTTCTTTTTCAACATTATCAAGTTGAACGATTACGCTTGTGATTCAACCGGCCAAGAAGGCAGAGGCGCAAGCGCTGACTAAATAATGCTTCGGCCTTGTCGAACTTTCCCCAGCGCTTTGGTTTCTTCAATCCCGACGCATCATTCTTGCTCTTTTTCTTCCTAGGTTTGGGTGACTTCCGTTGGATTTTTCTGAGAGGCGTAGCGAGCGCTTTCAGCATAATCTGTTCCAACAAAAGAAAGTTGTGAAATTAAATGAGTGAGCCCAATATTAAATTAGTTTCTATTCAGTAAATGTGCCATGACTTCGAGTTCATGGTAAGCTGAATATAAGCTATCCCCAAAATTTCAGCTAAGTCAAAAAAATTATTCAAGGAAATATTCACTAGCTTCTTATGCAAAATTTAATTTATAATTAGTCTTATGCTTTGGTTATTAGTAATTGATCATGTCAGATTATCCATAATAGGTCTTATGATAGGTTCCATCCATTTAAAAAAAATACATGCATATCCACAGACACAAACCCTTCTATAATAAAATGAGCATATATATGACAATCAAATGCAATATCCAAACCTTTCACTCTTTTTAACATCATTAACTATTGTTTTGCACGAATTCAAAATTGTAGAATTCTAGAAAAAATTGTATTTATCTCTTAGCTTCAATGCATTGCACCTTATTATATTTATATATATATATATATATACACACACACACACACACTCCCACGCTTGTTGTCACCAGATCCTCTGTGGCTTGTGTGTTAGTTGAGAGTGTTATTACTCAACCAGTTCCGGATGAGGTATGAATTGGAATCACTCACAACGGGTATTGACAAAATGTTGAAATAGAACCACATCCTCCTTATTGCTCTCATTGTAGTATGTTTGGTCATAGTTCTACTATTTTCTATCGCTTGCATCCACATCTGAGGTAGGATATCGTTAAAGATCAGTCATCTATCATCCCTGCTGAGAACGTGCAACCCGACCCTCTATCAAACACCGCAATTCCTGATGAAGAACACCATACTGCAGGTACAGATCCAAACGTATTTATACCACTCACTGTTATTGAAAAATGCTCACTTACATGTCAAGACACACGATAGTGCTCCTTTAATCCAATAAAAGATCAGCTGGTACAACAAGTAGTTGTTTCTAATGTTCAACAACCTATACATGTCCGACTCACTTTAGACAATCTACTGATCAGGTGAGTCAATCTTCAGATGAGGAATGCCAGGTCTATTCCACGAGGAAGAAGGAGAATTGAGGCCGACTCGAGCTCGAGAACTTATTGGATGATACACTGACTACTACTGACAATGCACTCATCTTACCAATTTATTAGCTGGCTCATTTCCTAAAACTAGAGGCAGATGCAAAACAAAATTAGGTTGCTCTCTAGCTACCTGATACTACGTTTTTGACACATTTGATTTTTTTCTTTAAGTTTCTCATGTATTTTGCTTATTTTCTCTTTTTGAAACTGTTTGCATGTGATGGTTATCGTGTGGGTAGGGTGCCATGCTAGGACCCTCCCACACAATCTGTCTGTATCATTTTTTTTTTAATATATTAGCCTTTAGGCTTTCTCAAATATATATATATATAATAATAATGAAAGGAACTAAAATAGTAATCTCTGCAAAATAAGAAAAAAATAGAAAATAGAAATATCTAATTATGGAAATACATCATTGAAATATATTCTAAGGATTCCTTCATAGTGTAGATTGACACTTTCCAATACTCACCTCAAGTTGGGTTATATTGATTATACACACCATTTTTAAACTTCAATTCATCATGATTGAGTCTTTGTAGTGCTTTATTAAGGAGATCAACAGTTTGCAGTCATGTAAGAATAAAATTGAGCTGAACAATTCTATTATTACCCTTTTTTGAGAAGAAGTATTGATCAATCTCGATGTGTTTTGTTTTGTCATGATGCACAAGATTTTAGGCTATACTAATAGTTGTTTGGCTACCACCGAATATCTCAATTGTATCTTTCAACTCAACCTTAAGTTCCCTTAATAATGTTTGAATCCACATTCCATCATATATTCCTAGCGCAAGAACACAACATTCAAAATTCGTACTGCTCCAAAGGCACCTTGTTTTTGCTTCTCCATGTGGCAAGATTGCCCCATATGAACAATATCAAGTGGTCGATTTCCTATCATTTACCTCTCATGTCTAGGTAGCATCTGTATATTTCAATATAACGATTTTCAGATCTTTTGAAGAATAAACAATATCCATAAGTCATCTTCAAGTATCTCATTTATGTTCATTCTTTTGTTGGAACCCACAGATGTGTCGGCAATGTTACACCCAAGCATGCCAATTTCACTTAACAGATCAAAGATGTATTTTGAGATATGACAAATCCCCCTTGGATTGAGCCAACTCCATTCCACGAAAATATCAGATATTTCTGAGATCCTTGATCTCAAATTTTGTTGTATGCATTCCTTTTAGTATGAGAATTTCCTGTGAAGCATAATCTGTTAAGATAATATCATCTACATATACTATGAGAATAACAATTTTATCTCAATAATTAGATTTAACAAATAAATTACGATCAACTTGACACTAATGATATTCGTTTGTAATAACTGTTTTAGCATACTTGTCAAACTAAGTATGAGGAGAATGCTCCAAGCCATATGAGGACTTCTTCAACTTATAAGCCAACTCATTTTTCGACCTTTTTTCTAAGCTCGTAGGTATTGTCATGTGAACTTTATCAAAGTTGTCATTCAAAAAGGCATTTTTGACATTAAGTTGGTATAAAAGCCAATCTTGATTTACTGCAAGAGTAAAATCTGAACCTTATTAAGTTTGGCAACAAGTGCAAATGTTTCCTGATAGTCAATACTGTATGATTGCATGAAGCCCTTGACAACCAGTCTGGCTTTGAATCTCTTTAAACTTCCATCTCCTTCGTACTTGACCATGAATATCCATTTGCAGCCTACAAGATTTTTTTCCTGTTGTAGATCTGCAAGTGTCAATGTATTCTTCTTTTCTAGAGCCCAAATTTCTTCTTCAACTGCATGTTTCCATGTTAAAACTTTTAGAGTCTCATGGATAGAGTTGGAAACCTGCATATTATTAAGGTTTGTCACAAAATCCCTATAAGAAGGTAGCAACTTTCGATAGGTTATAAATCTTTAGTTGGATGACCAATGCACCCTTAGATACCTTTCCTATGTGCAATTAGATCATTAAAGTCATCAACCATCGGTGTAAGAAAGTCATGAGTTAGGGTATCCAAACCTATGATTGTCAAGAGGCCTTGGTTCTGGCTCTTGGCAGCCCTGAGTCTGCATAGTGTCATCTATATGCTGAGTGGTCCTAGTGAAGACATGCAATTCCTGATCATTGGTATCATGTTTAGGTGGAGTACAGACAATTGTGACTTTTTTTTTATAGAGTTTGGTTCTTCTTGAGGTGGAGTAAAGACAAGTAGAGCTTGTTGAGGGATAGGATTTGGTTCAATTAAAGTAAATTAGTCAGATACCAAATTTGATATTCTCTCAAGTTCTTCCTCTAAATTTTAGAGTCGAGAAAATTAAAATGATTCTCAAAGAATGTGACATCCATGGAGTTCTATACTTTCAGTGGTTGGAGAGTAGTATTTTTTACCCTTTTTGATTGGACGAGTAACCAAATAAAATGCATCTAAGAAACTTGGGATCAAGTTTGGTATTGGTGTCTTTTATGGAAGTGAACAAAGGAAGAACAACAAAGCATCTTCAATGGTATGTCAGACAAAAAAGAGCAAATGCGTGGGTAGGATTTTATGAGAACATAAAAGGAAATTTGAAAATTTATGACTCGACTAGTCATCCTATTGATGAGTGTTGACCTCATTTTTGAGGTCATTTCTTTTTCCTTAGGGTCTTAGAATCTATCTCTAGGAGTTCCTATTGACCATCTTAGAAAACTAGAATTGAGACCCACCTTTTTAGAAATTCTAACAAATTCTTATTTTTCTTTAATGTCCAACATTTATGGCACAATACCATCATCTTATGAACGAGCGGTTATGGGCTATTTTGTGAAGACTCAAGGGAAAAGCTCCTAATAGAACTCTAAGCCTTAGGAAAACATCGTCACGACTTTTCGTCACACATACACACCAAATGCATAAAATTCACAAAATTGCACGAAATTGGACTTCAATTAAGCCCAAAGGACGGGTGAAAATGTGAATTTCTCTGGATGACCTCCGACGACAAAATGGACTGCGCCAACGCGTCCGGAATACCAATTTTGGTAGGAAAGAACACCCATAAAGAAAATTTTTCGACACAAGAAAATTGGCACTCAAATCGATGAATTTGTCAAAATGACTTCTGACGGAAAAATGGACCGCGTCAGCACGTCCGGAACTTCAAAATTTTCTAAAAATGGTACCAATTTTGTTATGTTTTGATGCATGGATAAAACAAAAATTAAAATTTTTTTTTTTTCAAAATATTAAATATTTCCTTTAATATAAATATCTTTAAATTATAATTATATTATAACCTAACCCTATTTAGGTTCTCACCCGCTCGCTTAAACAAACATTTCGGCCTTTCGGCCTCGCATTAGGCTCGATCCCTCGGCTCATCCCGCTCCTCGCCCGTGCCCTAACCGTGCCCTAACTCCACGGCAAATCCATGCGGCAGTCTTCTTCCCCAGCGTTCACGACTCGTCTCCTCGAGCTCCTCTCGACCGGGCAATCCTCCAACCGCGAAGTTCCACCTGACCGACCCTTCTCCTTCTCGAGGCTATACGTTCTCTTCATTTATGGTGTCGATCCCTTTCTTTTGCTCGATTGGTAGGCTAGGGCGGCAAATGATCAACATTCCTTTTTCTTTTCTTTGCTTTTTGGCTTCCTGAGGGATAGTCGGGTGCTGTGGGTGAAGGATTGAAGAAGTTTTCTTTTGCTAAAAAAGGGAGAGAGTTCTTGAGAGAAGAAATTCCTAGAAGAGCTTGACATTTTCTTTATTCCTTTTTCACGGTTAGCAAGTGGACTTACTCTCTCTGTTGTTCGATTCGAAGGATTTGCGGCTTGGGGAACTAGAAATCCGAGAAGAACATTTGAGTGAGGCTACATGGAGAACTGTTGAGGCTTGCAGGTTGTGGTGTTTTCTTCGATCCTTCGATCTTATTTTAATGCTTTGCTTTAAGTCTGCACTAAAAAGGTATTC